ATAGGGCCTCGACTTGAGCGTACTGGTGCAGCAAAGGCTGCGAGTCACGAAAGTATGTTCTACCTTTTTCCAGTGAAGGCGCCACTAGAAACAGGCGCCCCCACAAAGTGTATATGATAGATGATGCAATATGTTCTCTCTGGCAGGTCGACGACACATGAAGGGACATGGAATATGACCCTCAAGCAACCGGGGAAACGGACTATCGTCCTGCGCCGCGAGGAGCAGAAGCAGTACGCAGAGGTGCGAAGTTTTTATGGCCGCCGCACTAGCGCGTCGGCGCGCGCGTTTCTCCGACCGGCACGTGACACCGGCTAAGCTTCGGCGGGCCCGAGGAACCTCAAAAGACTTTTCGCCGCGCGCTCAAGCGACCTCTTCTCTCCATGGCCGCTGATGAATCATTTGAATAATTGATAGGAAGAGTAATACGTGGCTTAGGCTGCGACTGATTACAACATCACTACTTCTGAGGCCTGTTTCACGTTCCTGTTCGGAAGTATTGCGCGGTTGCTGCGGCGCTGTCGCGGAAGCTCGACGCGACCGTTGGATGACACCTGGGTGTTTCGCAGATTGGGGAGCACGCGCAGGCCTGTGAGACGGGCACAGTGCCAGGGACGTATGGCGACTTCGACACAGCCGCTGTCGCTGCTTCAGATCATTCGCCGTTGAGATCTGCCATGTTTCAGCGAGGATCCTGTATGAGATGGATGGGCCGTGGCCACGAGGGCGCAGGGAATGCCCTATTCTCGTCGTCTCTGTTCATGCGGTTTGCATTTCGTATGTTTCCAGAAGATGGCTTTTTGCCTGAGGATGCCGCGAAACAAAGCGCCGTGCGTCTGGATTCATGCGGTGCCTCGGCATTGGCGCGGGATGGAGGCCATGGAGGAACTTTCGGCGTCAGAGCGTAGGAGGACATGTTCGGTCGGACACTGCGGCGTGCGCGCCTCGTGCTCTCGAGTTCTCGACCCGGGTTTCCTTTGCTCTACCGCGGCGCCGCTCGCTTTTGGCTGTACATGTGAACAGAGTCAGTCGGCCCGTACGGCGGCTGATAGCGACGTCGAGTGCTCAGTCAGTCAGTAGTCAACATGATCGGTGAATACCAGGTTGCTTGCAGCCGCGGGGACGCTACGGCTGCCAACTTGCTCGCTGTCTTTACGACTCTGAATTTACCGGTCCTGGACAAAGTTTACGTCAATAAGCTACTATAGTACGTCAGGTTCACATGTTCATGACAATTACCTGCTCGTCTACGCCCCATCCTCTGGTCGAGGAGAACTATCGAGCATGTACAACTTCACGCGCGTCACTTTCAATTGCGATCGTCGTGCCGACGCGCCCGTATGCCCAAGATCTGCGCTCGATCGGCGACTTTCCATACGTTGGGGAGCACAGTCACTAGCCGTCCATGGTCGGTTTGTCCCGCAGCGTTGCGAGACCCTGGTGCCATGAGCACTGGTGGTCTTGTCTCGCCGACTTGGGGAGATGTCGCCTGTCGAGGTCTCGTGTCATGACCAGAGGACGGTCTGCAGAGATTTCGATGACCAGCCAAGGCGCGACGTGCCGAGTGATTTGCGATGAATGGAAGCTTTCGAAACTTAACAGCATTGAATAACACGGGTCTTATCCACCCGGGACCTGGTGCTAACCACATTCACGGTCGTTTCACCGCGGGCTTATCGTATGCCGATATTGTCGATAGAATCCCACGTGTGTCGGGCTGATGGTGAGATCCAGCCCGTAGCGGTGCGACCTCGACCGCCTGCTCTCAGGCCAGCTGCTTCGGCAATAGCCACGACGGCTCCAGAACGCGGACCTGTGGGAATTCCCACTTGCCGTCTCGACTAGACGAGACACATGTCCAACCGATGCCTTTCGCATCAGACACTGGCCTCAACAATGTCAAGGCGGTGTCTCGCAGGAAGGGTTGCCCTGGCTGGACCAGCACACCGCATAGCACATCCACATGCATTCAGCAGCAAGCACCGAGCATCAGTGTGGGGAAGAATTCCAGAAGCCACAGGGTCAGGGACCAGTCGTGCGGGCTCTCGGGAGATTACAGACGAGCTTGACCCTGCTTGAGCATAACGCGAATTTCGTTAGAAGCATGTCTGACCGTGCTTGAGACCCCGACGCGGTGGGCTCAGCGATCTGCCAGCTGCCTTATTGGGGTGACATAGCCGTTGTCATTGCCTCTTCGGCAATGGCGACCTTTGATGAGTTTCACAATTCCAGAAGACGACGTTCCCGGTATCGGTGCCTTGGGGACGGTACGTCAGATTTGTCAAGCCTCCAGGGAGGCACCTGGTGCGCATCCTACCAGCAGAGACACCTTGCAACTATTCACGTTGTGTAGTCATGCCCTCAATGGTTTCGGAAGCCACACTTCGTTTCTAACGCGTAAAAGTAACATTGACCCGCGGCATGACGGAACAAACGCAGGAACCTGAGTGGCACGGTCGACTAGCTCTGGTGTTGGTCAAGCCGGCACACATGGCTGTACTTCCGATAGACGTGCTAGCGAGTCAAAGGACACACCATCGCGATAGCCAAATCATGGGCGAGCGGGATGGAAGCCCCAACCCCGCCAGGCTGGAAAACTTCCTTCGAGAGGACGAAGATCAGGGCCTCGTGAGTCTCGGCCAATGACAAGGCTGAAGAAGTGGAGAGAGAGTCGAGTGGAGTTGTGCTATGGAAGCCATGCGTCGTTCCCCGGCGCCGAAGCTATGGCATGACCACGCCGCACACGCTAACTGACACGGCCCACACCACGGAAGAGCCCTTCTTCAACTTGAGTCGCATCAGGACCCTGTTGAGTCGTAAGGGAGCCCCGCTGATGTGGCCTTCTAGAAATTGCATCGTCTTGACATGAAGCAGTGAGCATGACGACAGTGGTAGGGCGAGCAGACGGCGCGAAAATCCCACGAAATCTTTTCCTGGAGTCACGATAAGCCCGCATGTTGTACGGGGTCTCACTTACCGTTTGTTCCTGCATTGTACCTGCAGTAGACGCTATTCTCGATCAATAAGCTCTGCAGTCAATGTGGGGGATGACGGCCAGGCGGATGCCATCGGGCCTGTTCGAGTCGACCAACGCTTGTCACGCGAAAGACACGCCGCTTTTACGAGTAAGCCACTTAGGCCTCGCCGGCGGCTTCATAACTTTGCACCCGCAGCATTCGATAGCTCGTTTCTATTTGTGCCGAATCTTATACGAGGCACCAACATGCATAACTCATACCGCGGCGGAAGTGTAAATGGTGAGGCATCCACTTCATCCGCGTCATAGCCAGCCAACTGCGTCTACTATCGATACCTAGATAGAGCAGCTGGTTGCTTTGTCTGGTACACCACCACAATTGGTCGCTGCACGAGTGGTAGCCGAAGTGGCAGCCCAACACCTGAAACACACTTGCGAGATGGATTAAGGCCGCATGTGCAGCTATATGACCATGCATCCCACCAACCGAATTTCTTTACACCCTTCGAAGAAGAATGGTATCGGTGGCGACTTGCAGAGAGCTGCACACGAGTATGTCGCACCATTAAGAATAGCCGTGTTTTCGACCACTGGGAGGGCGCGGATCCCAGGCCCTTCAGCTCGCGGGCAAATCACGCTCAACGGGGATCCTGTTCTTGCACCATGGCTTACGTTCCTGCGTAAGCCCGGCATGTCAAGTTCTCGCTCCAGTGTTGCGCGATGGGTGTGGCAATGGACCATTTTTCTACCCTCGCGTCGGGCGACTTGACGCGATACATTCCTACACCTCTGGGCATGCGTGGCTGGTGGAGTTGTTGTGGACATCGTGAGACACATCGCTCGTACGCTTCTGCATCGCAGGAAGGCGTCGCGAGTCTTGTGGTGTGCGGGCAACGTTGACGCCGGCCACAGCGCGTCCAAAAGCACTCAATCAACAACGACATCAGCATGCCCGGTGTTGCTTCTGTGATGCTGGAGGGTGGCACCGCGGGCGGTACGGCGTTGTCGTGCGTGACATATTCAGTGGAGCGCGCAGCGTCATCACCATCACGAAGAGCGGGAGAGACGCGACGCTGTATGGATGTTTCAAAACATAGTTCAACCGGCAGGGTCTCGCAGCTATCATTATCGATTGGCAGATAGGATGATAGGCTGAATGATGCCCGGGCGCGCTAATCTCGAGGCGAGTTGGAGGGCCGTCTGAAAGGGCATGCTGTGGTGTGGTTTGTCAGACGAGACGCAAGACACACCCGACGCTCGCCCAGTCATCGGCAGTATCACCCTTCGCTAGCCATCACTCGCTGTTCAGAACAACGGCCATACCGTGGCGAGGCTCAGTTGCCTTCAGCTATTGCATCGTCTCCATTCGGAGAGGGCGGTAGAACCCACTACGTAGGCAGTGTGCAGGCCTTCCATCCCACCATGTGCTGTGCTGGCGACGTAGCCAATGCCTGGAGGCCTGCCGGAACCGCCGCGCACATCTCATTTCGCGTATAGCCCCATGCAGCTATGCATTGGGCGAATAATTTTAGGCCCAAAAACCCATGCATTAATGCACTCGCTGCTTTTGACGCGAGTCAAGGCTAGGGTCTAATGCAGGATCCCATACCTAGCTGGCTTGTGGAGCTGCGCTGCGCCCCGGCGCACTAGAGCGAGCCGTCCTTCTCTGTGCGCTCATCAGTTCTCTTTTTCACTGGCCTGCCCTTGATCAAGGTTCATCAACCACGTCCCTCTCGTTTCTTTCCGCCGTCGCCGTTCAGGTTTTCATCTTGGGTCTCATAATTTTGTGCCCTCACACTCTTTGATCTTCATTATCTATCTTAGTGACAGTTTCGTTATTACGAACTGGCCCACAGTCATTCCTTCGACTCTCTCTTATACTGTCCAGTATCCTGCCTTCAAGTACAACTAATTTGTCCTCGACATCACTCGATACAACTCTATCATCGACCCAACCCACCAACAACAACGTGCACGACGACGACAACTGCTACATTGAACCAAACACACACCTACACACGCAATGGAAGGCTCATATCCCATCCACCCTGCCCAGGCAATGCAATCGCCATTCTTCTACTACAACCCGGACCCTCAAGGGGAGAACACACGCCAACACGGTCACTTCACACCCCACCCATCCGGACAGGCTACCTTCCAAGCACAGAACATGTACTACCAGAGGCCAACGTCGGCATGCTCTCAGATGTCCTACCCTCAGACCGCCTACGCCAACCAGATGCTGACTCCCGTCGCATCTCCTCAGCCAATGTACCAGAAGCCAACGATCTTGATCCAACCTCAAGACTCGCCATACCTTCACCCCATTGACACTGACTACTCGTTCTCGCCTGCCACACCTCCTCTTTCATCGTGCGGTAGCAACACCAGCAGCCCTCCTTCCACATGCGATGTCCTCCCTACACCGCTGCACGACATGTTCTCTGCTGAGGGTATCGAGGGTGTAAAGCAGGGCTGCGAAGGCGAGGTCTTCTCTGAGCTCCTCTCTGCCGGTCTCGAATGGCGTTCAGCCTCCCCACCCATGACACCAGGTAAGTTTATCCAATGTATTATTCGCATCGTCTTGTGCAAGTAATGTCGCTGCCTCGACGTTGCGTGGGTAACTCATTACGTGTGTGCGTGGACAGCGTTGCTAACTGCTTCAAGTCTACATCCAGCCTCCGTCGGCTAACCAGGGGTCCTACCTCCTGTCTGCAACTTCATGCCCCTCGCTTTCCCCATCACCATCACCAGTGCCCCGCTCTGCCTTTGCGGAAGCCGAGAACAACTTCTGCAACCCCCGCGATCTCACCGTCTCCGCCACTACCGAGCTTCCTATCGTCACACTTTGCCCCGGCGACGAGGAGCACAAAGTTGTCCTCAAGGGTGAGACTGCCAAGGTAGACAGCTTCGAGCCTGCTCAGTCGTTCCACTTCACTGGACTCCCTACTTTCGAGCCCCTGTTCGAGCTTGACTGCGAGGACGACTTCACGGGCCTGGTCAACTTCTCCACCGACAACGCCCACTTTTGCGGCAGCAAGCGCCAGCGCACTGACCTAGGTGCCTTTTCTCCCGAAGAGGACTTCCTCAGCGACGAGAGCTTCACCGACTTCGAGGAGGAGCTTGTCAACGGCCTGCCCCTTACCCCTGCCACCAGCGACTTTGACATGTCGGCCACTTCCGACATGAAGAGGCGTACAGTCAAGAAGGCTCGTTCTGAGTTCAGCGAGACTGAGTCCGACTACCAGGGTAAGCAACAGACATCCGGTGATGACAACACCATGTCTGGAGCATCAAGCCAACAAGAATCAGGTCAAGCCGAAAACGCTGTCGGCTCCAGCTCAGACGAACACGCCACTCCCGTCGCGCCTACCAGCCGTCGCGGTCGCAAGCAGTCGCTCACCGACGACCCTTCCAAGACCTTCGTCTGCACTCTGTGCTCGCGTCGCTTCCGCCGTCAAGAGCACCTCAAGCGCCACTACCGCTCTCTCCACACTCACGACAAGCCCTTTGAGTGCACCGACTGCGGTAAGAAGTTCTCCAGGAGCGACAACCTGTCGCAGCACCAGCGCACCCACGGCACTGGCGCTGTCAGCCTCGAGGTCATGGGCTCCGACTTCCACCACTCGGACATGCAGCACGGCCAACCCGGCGCGTTTGGCGCACAGGCGCCTTCCACCATGGGCGAGATCCTCTACAACGCCGCTGCCGAGATCCCCACATCAAGCTCAGACGGATCCGAGAACGAGTCTTCCCCCAGCCAGAAGAAGCGCAAGAGGAACGAGTAAACCTTCTTCACTACCACACTTCTCCTTTCAACTCTTAACGACTCTTCATGACCCCCACAACACCTGGTAGAAGGATTATACATCGTGCCACACGGCTGCTCGTCCACCCTCACGACATGGCTAGACAGGCGGCACCGATTTACATCAGCGGCTCGAGCTTGCACAATCTGCAGCTAAAACTCTACGCTTCCCTTCTCCCACTGTATTCTACATACCCGATCTGGCTGTACCAACATGCGAGATTGGCATTTTCTTCTCATCGCTTGGTTTTGCGTTTAGCACGGCTTATCGGGACTTCTGGGGCGGACCTTGGCGGACGGATAGATCTGGTGTTTTCTTTGGTTTCACTTTTACGACGACATGGCCATTACCCTACACCGGCCACTGTCGCCGCGTTACCCCGCTGTTTATCTTGCGCTTCCTACACTCGTTGTAATCGGGCAGCCTCATCTGAGCGCCCTCTGACATTCTGGGAATCTTCGCTTCTTTCTCATCACACACATGTAATTGTCAGACTTTTACAATCTGCTCAGCAATGCTTTTGCGTTCTTTGCGGCTCATTGTAGGTTAGAGGTGCTGGCACTGTCCGACTATCATACAAAAACACGTTACATACATACTTTCGATGCTTCTTCCCTGCATGTGACTACTGTGCCATGCATGCGAGCCGCGCGTTGTGCGCACTGTTGCTTTTGGACGATCAGCCGTCAGCGATGGGTGCAGGACGGGACCCTGATACCAAAATACACTATCGCGCTCGTTGCAAAACCCCACGGATCAACCTAGCGCGCGCAGACCCTTAGCGAGATCCAATCCACCTGCGTCTGTCTCATGCAACGAGCGGCACCGGGCCGTCTCAACTCCTTCATTGCTTTTCCTAGACGGTCGCCCGTTTCGAATCATTCGTTTTACCATGTCACCGTCATTGAGCGTAATTGCTTTAATCTCCGGAGGCAAAGACTCGCTCTTCTCCATTCTCCACTGCAAAGCCAACGGCCACAGCGTCGTAGCACTGGCCAATTTGCACCCAGCGCCTTCGGCCAATGACGATGAGGACATCAACAGTTACATGTACCAGACCGTGGGGCATTCGGTCATCCCACTCTACGAAGAAGCGCTAGGAATACCGCTCTATCGACAAGAGATCCTGGGCACCGCCGTAGACTCGAACAGAGACTATGCGACGCCTTTGCAAAAGCAAGAGCAGGATGAGACTGAAGACTTGGTTCCGCTGTTGAGAAGGGTCATGGAAGCTCATCCGGAGGCAAACGCAGTGTCTACAGGGGCCATCCTGAGCACGTATCAACGGACGCGTGTGGAGAATGTTGCGCTCAGGCTAGGGCTGACGCCACTGTCGTATCTGTGGCAGTATCCGCTGCTGCCACCGTATACGCAATCGTCGCTTTTGCATGATATGACGACTGTAGGACAAAAAGCAATCATCATCAAGACGGCGTCTGGTGGTCTGGATGAAGACTTTTTGGGCCTCGATGTCGCTAATCACAAGACTATAGCAAGGCTAGCGAAGGCCATGGGGCGCTATGGTGATGCTGGTGACGGCGCGATACTGGGTGAAGGAGGGGAGTTTGAGACGCTGGCACTGGATGGGCCGAGGTCGATCTGGAAGAAGAAGATAGTGATCGAGGAGGGACCACCTGGGAAACTGGAGGGTGGCCAGGCGGTGCTGAAGATCGAGAAGAGTACGCTAGAGGAAAAGGTTGACGATAACGAAGGTGCTGGCACATTGAGGATACCCGAGCTCTTTGACGACGAGTTCAAGAGAGTGTTGGAAGTGACAAACGCCAGCAACCAAAATGAGCTTTCTGCGTCCACTGAAAAAGAGGGCACTGTTCTGTCTTTTGGGTCGCCCTCTCGAGTGCATCCCCCGTCCATAGTAGACCGACTACCCAGGAATACATTCAGTAACGCCTCGACCGTCTTTACATACTCCAACCTCTCGAGCGATACCTCTCCCTCTTCCTCACCCGACTCCCCTTCTCGCCAGCTCTCCAAGATCTTCCTCCGTCTCGACCATATTCTGAAGCAATGCCATGTTTCCAGATCTAGCGTCAACCACTGCACATTGCTCCTCCGCGACATGGCAGACTTTACAGTCCTTAATCCAATCTACGCTCAATACTTCAGCGGCGTGAACCCGCCAGCCAGAGCTACGATCGCAGTCGGGGACACCATGCCAAAAGACAGACACGTCATGCTAAGCGTAACCGCGGACAAGGACCAGAACGACCAAAACGGAAAGCTCCTCCACCCAGTAAAGAGACAAGGCCTCCACGTCCAAGGCCGAAGCTACTGGGCACCCGCAAACATCGGACCTTACAGCCAAGCCATCTCCGCCCGCCTACCCCCTAGCAACCAGCACCCCGAAAACGATACCCAGACCACCGGAGAAGTCTTCTACGTAGCCGGGCAAATCCCGCTCATCCCCGCATCCATGGCCGTCCACACAGAGCAAGGTTTCCGAGGCCAAGCTCTCCTTTCCCTCCAACACCTCTGGCGCATCGGCCGCACAAAGCGAGTGACATGGTGGACAGCAGCCGTGTGTTTCATTCCCGCTTCTGAGACACCAGAGGGGGATGTGCGGACGGCGCAGGAAGTATGGAGGAAGCTTCATACCCCACCTTCATCCTCGACTGACGACGACAACCACGAAGACGAAGACGAAGACGAGGATATTGATCCTTGGGACCGCTTGAACCAACATGACGCCTCGGCCTTCAAGGACTCTACGTTCCGGGCGCCGATCCCTGATCGCTCTGCCATATCTACTGCGCAAAATCAAGGTTCGACCGGGGCTAAGGCAGAGATAGTCGTACCACCTTGTTTCGTCGCCCAGGTGTCTTCTCTGCCGCGCGGTGTGGATATAGAGTGGAGCGCTACGGGTCTTACGTCTCCCTCCATCGCATACGAGCGTGACGCCTCTGTTCCCCAGTGCACTACTACGACGCCGGCGCACAGTCGGTCTCGTTTTTTTACGTTGGAGATCAGGGATGAGCGGGGTGTGGAGGTGCTAGGGAAGCTGGGTGCACAGGGCTGGACGAGTGCTACGCTGTATGTTGGAAGGGGATTTGCGTGGTATGGGAATGGAGGAGAGGGGGTCAAGATGGAGGGTGTGCAGTGGATTCCTTGCCAGAGGGTTTGGGGCGAGGAGGGGAGCGAGGTTTGTGCGGTACTTGTAGGAAGGCTGGATGCGTGAGGGAAGCGGGCAGTATGGATGTTTGTGGAGAGAAAAAGGTATCATGCCATCTTCGTGCTCATACTTTGTCAGAACCGAACATGACCATGCGAGTATGTATGCATTGCTCGTAATTGCTTCTATAGCTATGTGATATCCCATCCATCTTCTTCCAATCGTCAAATCATGCCTGATGGTATAACAGCTTTTCCCAACCTGCCCGAGTCTCCGTAACGCCGTGTAAATGCCCGATATCGCGGTTGCCATTGCTTGGCTACTATGCAAGATTTCTCGCTTGTGTGTATCGTCTAGAACCTCTCCTTCATACGTCCGGCGACTGTCCGTAGGTTGCCGTACACCTTGCTTGGTTGTTGACCCAGGATCAGGCTGACAATGGCTTCGCGTGCGATGTGGATGTTCTTGAAACCGCCGAGGATGTGGATCTTCTGGTCTGCTAGGACGACTGCGGGTTGTTAGTAATCTGGACAACGGTGGTATTCATGCCATGGACGTACCTCGTGTTCTGCTGGCGTTCTCGATGGCGAACTTGGTCTTGCCGTCCTTGCCTGCAATGCGGCCAATCGCGCGGCCGAGATGCTCGCCCTGTAGGGTCTTGACGTCCTTGATCTCAAAGGTCTCAATGTAGAGATCGTCGAGTCGAAGCAGCTGTGAGTCGTCAGTCGGATATTCTCGAATCGAGGAGCCAGGCCAGGCCAGACGCAGTTTGAATAACTGCCAGCTCAGGTGTAGGGCTTCGTATCACTTACCGCAATGGCATCATCCGTGTCAAAGCCCAGCGTGAAGGCCTTTACAAAGTCCTCTCCCTTCTGCAGCGCGCCTGTGTCGGTTGTGGCGTTGGAGGTGCGCAGTTCGACGGCCTTTGCCTTTGTGTTCATGCGGACCTGCAGCTTGAGGTGCTCGACAAGCGGGGGGTAGATTTTGGGCCACGAGTTCTTGAGGGGCGTCATCCTGTGGGGTGGGATGGGGACCTTGCGCTGTTCGCGGCGGAAGGCGAGGGGTATCGACTTGGCGGCGGGGAACTTTGGCTTCCCGCTCTCGTCCGTCATGGGCATGTCGTCGTCGGTGGGTGCTGGGGCATCGTGGGCGGCGGCGACGGGGTCGAGGCTCATGGAGATGAGGTCGCCGTCGCTCTCGGTCGGGAGCGGGACAGACGACGCCTCCATGGTGACATCGTCGGCGAACTCGTCGGGCCTGCGCTGGAGGGCGGTAGGGGCGGGCATGCTGGCAGCGGTATGCGGTATGCGTGTGCGGTATGCGAAGTGTAGGCGGGCGTGGATGTTGGAGGTGCTATCGATGCGCGACAATGTGGGGCTGCTCAAGAAATTTGGCTGGGAGCGCTGGGAGGCGAGCGGCAGTCGTCCCGAAGCGGGCTAGCGCCTGTCACTCTACCGCGAGGCCTTCTTTTTGCATGTGCATGGGTAATGACGTGAATCTTGTATTCCAACCACCCGCCCGCCTGTCCTGCACCGCACACGGCACCCTCTCTGCCCCCACACACGTCCGCACACCCCTCGCTTGCCGACGTCGACCATGTACCCGCCGCGATTATCATGAACAAGAATGTAGGCACGCTCGGCTTCCTGTGGCGCGCCGTCGCTGGCCAGCCGCTGATCCACGGCGGCCGTGTGCTTCCGCGCGAAGGGCTGGGGGCATGGGCACAGGCACAGGTACAGGCACAGGCGCAGTCGCCATGGCGGGGAGGCATCCAGAAGCGCTCCATCACCGCGAATTCGCATGTCTTGGGGCTGTCGACCACCTCACCGTATCCCGGACACGCACCCGGTCT